TGAATATGTTGGCTCTTTTAACATTCAAAATCATGTAACAGGAAAAGCTTATTTAAGGAAGCTTATAAGAACTTAAACATGATATAAAATGCTCACAGTTATTGGGACTACAATATAACCCTTGTTCAAATGCCCAGCGGGAAATGCTCAACGATCCCATTGAGCATGCTAAAGTTCCCAGCTTATTCCAGACAACAGCATCCTTATTATCAATCTCTACAGATTGAAGATAGCATTGCAAAGCATCTTTGTAGTAAGGAGCACCTTGTTGTAGAAAAACATTGGCAAGATTCTTCAGTGCCAAAAATCTGCAGAAATGTGAATGAGTACAGTTACCCAGCATCAGAAATATATGTTTATACAAATATTGACAATTAGAAGTGGAGAAGGGTTGGGGGAAGGCCCATTATCCACCGAGTTACGAACCGTGTACCACTATTCCTTGGGGATTTCTCGGTTATCAAAACAAAAAAGAAATTGTCAATAAGTAGTCAATTATTTGAGGCTTTTATAGGGCAACTATCTTAGTTTATTAACATCCACAATCAACCATGAAACTGATTTTATTTGGAGGATTGAAGGCCATAATTGAATCTTAAAGCGAACATAGAAGGTAAGAGCAATAAATGCGCTTTAGTTTTAGATGCACAGGAAAATTAAATGGGAAAATGTTCTATAGCCAGATAGAAGATATGGTAGTCCACTTGCTATTCTAGACTATTAGAGAAGTAGGAGCCAAGAACAAGCACGACAAGAATTACAATACAATTGGAACCAGCAGTTCAAGTGAGAAGTTAGGCCTCAAAACACACCTGAGCTGCAAAAGATGACCATCACTAGAATTACTAACCACCTAGAATGTCAACAAGGGAAAAAAAATAAAATAATCATCAGCATGGTTGTATTACCTTATCAAGAAAAAAAAATCATCAGTAAGGATGTAGCAGAAAAGATGGTGATTCCAAGGTAACCATCACCATTTTACCTGAGAGTTTGCGACCAAAGGATCCTTTAACACAGCCTCCAAAAGCTCACGAGCTTTTTTATAGTCTTTAGCTTCCAGTTTCAAAAGTCCTTCATGGTAAGTTTGTGACAAATGAAATTCCTGGAAAAACCAAGTTATCATAAATCCATTGTAAAAAGACGAAAATCGAAATAGTGCCATGCTTGCTCTTCATCACAGTAACACAATAAAAGTTCGTAACAAAAAAACTCATCCATATAAGAAACAAGTGATCACAATATTGCATGCATAGTAGATAGAATAGCCGACTTTTTAAGGAAAATGGAAAAAGAAAAAAGAGAGATGCGTTATAATCAACTAAAAATTTAGTAGAAAAAACTTTTTCCTTTTAGATCTTAAGCTTGCAAAATTAGGGTACTTTAACACAAGGTGCTCTTTACTATTAATTCTTGAATCTCAACAACTAAGCAGACTATTTTTTGCTGCATTCTAAGGACTAATATTTGTTTCTTACAGAGAAGTCCCCTTTAATCTCAGACACCAATTGCACCACCAACAACATGTGTAAATTACACACACACACACACACAAAAAAAAAAAAAAAAAAAAAAAAAAAAAAAAAAAAAAAAAAAAAAACCAACAAAGAAACTTGAGCTGGAGTTTACCTGGGCTTCTTTGGTTGGGGCTAAAGGTTCCCATTGGCTTTTTGAGTCTGTATCATTGATAGCTGCAATTGAAAACTGAAACCCCAAATTTTGAAAAAAGCAAAAAAAGAATCAGAGAGACACAGTTGAAGATGATCAAAAATATACTGCGAGAAGTTAAAATATTTGAATTTTATTACGCTCTAGCTTACCATTGTAGCAAACAACTATGAGCCGAGTTGAACTCTAACGGATTTTCTCCATTCAAGAAATTGGGCGGGCGAACTTTCTGTTAATAATATTAGCAGTTTTCAGTGTTAAATCCTTCGTTCTCTGTGCGTCGAATTGTTTTCGATTCATGAATGTTTGCTAAATCGTTGTTTTGCCCCCAAAGTTTGGGTAAATACGATATTGTCCCGAAAATATTTGGAAATTTAAACCGAATTACACTTAATAAAGAGTGTGTTTGCCTGTTTGGTATATTTTTCAATTTTTTCATGTTTGGTTGGCTTAAATGTTTTAGGAAAATATTTTATTCGTGAACTCATTTTTCTTTAATTGGAGGAAAAAGTATTTTTCAAAACTCTTCCCACCCTTTTCCCATCCCCGCAAGCCCACCTCCCCACCTCACCTACCTACCCCAACCCCTCGCCCTACCCCTCTCGCCCTCTATCCCACCTTAAATAAAAATATTATTAATAGTACTTTCTTTTATATCATGAAAAAAAAATACTCATTTGTTGAAATGAAAAAAATCTATCTATAATATGAAAATAAAGTACTATTAATAATAAAAAATATTTTCTTTCATTTCAATTAATGATGTAGTAAAGAGTATTTTCTTTCAGTTCAACAAAAAAAGTATTTTTTTTTCATGATGTAGAAAAAGTATTTTTTTCATTTCAACAAAAAAAGTATTCTTTTTTCATGATGTGGAAAAAGTATTTTTTTTCATTTCAACAAAAAAAGTATTCTTTTTTCATGATGTGGAAAAAGTATTTTTTTTCATTTCAACAAAATGAATATTTTCTTTTCATGACGTAGAAAAAGTATTTTCTTTTATTACAATAAAATGAGTACTTTATTTTTATATTGTACAAAGAGTACTTTCTTTCAACCAAAAAAAAAGTATTTTCCTTTTAGTTATGGAGCACAAATTTCAACGTTGTTTTTATGTAAAAAAGTAAAGTCCTGAAAACGTTGGGTATTAGGAGGGGAGGGAGAGCAAGGAAACATGAGAATTTGGGGGAAGGGGGTGAGGATAGTAGCATTATCCTAAAAAAAATATTTTCTACTCTCTAACTAAAAGTTAGAAAAAAAAAATTTCACTCACCAACCAAACAATAGAAAATAAGTGATAAAGCTATTGTTTTCATGAAAAATATTTTCTTTCGTACCAAACACACCCAAAGCCTTTTACATTTCCCAACTTTGATGGATAAAACAACATTTTTTATGGTAAAAGCTTATCTGCACTTGTAAAGTTTTCTGAAATTTCATTTGTATAAATGTCGACTTCAGGACACAATCATGAAGTTTTATTTGAAATTGTATGATCAATTTGAACCACTATATTGTATGTTTAAGTTATTGGTTTTTTTTAGTCACTTTGCAAAGGCTGGTTATATTTGAACTAGCAATCTAAAAGTGATTATTTTATCATTTTTACTTTATTCTATTACGATATGATTATTATTTAAAGAGTCAAAAACTTTTTCTCTTTCATGATGTTTTTTAAATAGAATATTCAACCCGGATAATCTTAATAATTCATGGCATTCCCTTTCTCACCAGTGACAAAATATTCGAGGTCCCAAAGACACCAAAAACATAAAACCTGAGTTTGCAAAATCAATTATGCGAAAACTCAAACAAACGCACTTGTGTTTCTTTATTCCTTGATACCTAACACACTCAAAGTGAACCAAGGGTCTATCGGAAACAACTCCTCTATCTTTACAAGGTAGGGGTAAGACTCTTGTGTAATTACACTGGACTTGGTGTTGTTGTACTTGTACCTAACACACCCAAAGTCTTCTTGAGTTAATTTTATAGAAAAATACACACCACCCTTTCTAAATCCCTATGGAATTACACTGAATTTATTGTTGTTGCACTTGTATCTAACACACTCAAAGTCTTCTTGAGTTAATTTCAGAGCAGAAAGAAGTATAGCATATCATTAGTCTTATCATATGCAGTCTTGGAAAAAAGTGAGTTATCTTATTGAAAGGGACAATAGACAATAATTTGCTTTAGAATAATTTCTTTATTTACTTGTTTCAGAATAATTATTATTGGCAGTTTGATAGGATCTTGTGATTTTCAGGACTTAACCCAGAAAATGTAAAAACATACTAGGTGACATGACATCCCCATTGAATGACAAGAAGTTGCACATAGAATCACAAACGCACTTTTCCATCTCTTCAACTAAACAAAATTAACTTCATACTCCAACAAAATAGAAACAAATATCTGTCTATACATTCAACTATTCAACTACTACTATCATCTTTCAGTTTTTTCTTGTTCATTCCACTAATAAGCAAATTATGAAATAGGAAATGAAAACAAAATCTTGGACAAAAGAATTTCTACAAGTAGTGAATCAACAACTGTGACCACGCAATCTCTAGAACGTTTGGATCCTTCAATTTCAATCATGAACTGGCAATAGTGATGCCGCTGCTCTTTTCAATGCTTCACTGGCTTTCACCAGATCGGATTCTGTATGAGCTGCCGAGACAAATAATCTAATTCCAACTGGCAGCTTACATTTATCAAGAGTTGATCTCTTTGAAGTCACAATAAAGACAGAATCTTCCTTTAACACCTACAGAGTATAAGATGTTGCACGAAAACAAACTCGTGAGATAACTCTAGATGATGATGAGTTCAGAATTAGATGGCAAAGGTAACGAGCATTAAGCAAAATAACTTACATGATCAGCTATATCTTCAAGCACTTGTAAATCACCCTTTGAAGTACCAATGGACTTCTTTAATGTAAGAAATATAATAGGGGAGAGCGGATCACTGACTAATTCTAAGCCTTTTATATCTGATAAACCTGCAGTTGTACCAAGAAAAAAAGAGTTTCTTCAGACTCACTTAATGGGGATAAGGGAGAAGGAAAAGGTAATCGGTACGGGACAAAGACCTTTAGTCAGCGTAGCAATATTTTGCCTCAGTTTGACAAGAAGTTCAGGTTTTTCTTCCACGATATCAATAGCCTTAATCGCAGCACTTGCTAAGTAAGGAGGCAGTGAAGCAGAGAAGACATAACCAGAACTACTGAGGCGCTGCCAACGTAAGCAAAGTAAACCATCAATAAAAGATGGGTGGAAATATAAAGAGATACAAGTGCAAGAAATGAAAGTCATGAAAATGCAATTATCGAGAATAGAAGATAAACTAGTTGTACCTGGTGATCAATGACTCTAGCATTCCCTGTGCAAAAGCCACCTTCTGTGGCCAATGCATGTCCCATTGCCGCAGTTATTATATCTATCCTGTCAGCCTGCAATTGGATGATCCCGTAAGAGGATGTACAGAGAGATACAAAAATTAATTAACCAAATATTATGATGAACATACCGGAACTTTACAATGTTCAGTTAGACCTCTACCAGAACTGCCAAGCACACCAATGGAATTGCTTTCATCCAACAACACACGGAATCGATATTTTTCCTTCAACTTGATGATTTCATCTAAAGGAGCTACTTTGCCAGAATTCTGCAAATTACAGTCATAAATGAAATCTGGTATTGCAAAGCACAATTTCCCTTAGTAGAAAGTGCACTGACTAGAGGGGAAAAAAAGAGAACTGCGCTGAGTATTAATAGGCAGCCACTAAACTATGAAGCAACAAGTTGGTTATGCCCATAAAGAAAATCTTTTGTCAATGATAAGGTGGACATCAGGAATACAATGTGCAACCCACAAACCATCGTACTTGATGAATTACTTCCTTGCAGAACCTTGAAAATGATTTAGAACACCGTGGCCCCTCAAAAAGTTATCCAATTAATTCAAAGAAATTTCTGAACAATATAATTGGACTTGGTATCCGGACCAGTTTGAATGAAGCTCATTATTTACATATGTGGTATGCCTAGAGCTAACCTCTCCCATGTCTTTACTAATAACTTCCCCTTCAACTACCACCCGAAAAAAAGAAATCAGAGTTACTCTTTCGTATCAGGTATTTCCATTAACATAAACAGTTGATACCTGATACACAGCTTCAACAACGATATAGCGCCGTAACTTCTTAGCTTGTTTGTTTTCTTGGGTTACTTTCTCCAAAGTATTTCGCAAGGACTCCATATTGTTATGCTTAAAGTATATGATGGTACTTCTAGAGAGCTGGAGGCCATTCTGGATTCCCCAGTGAACACCTTCATCCCTACAGGAGCAAAGAAAGATCGCAGGAACAATGTCAATAATAGCGAGATTTGATGACAAGTGGCAGTCTTAGGGTTATTTATTATGATAATCAGAACTGATACTAGCCAAGGGGAAACCAATAATTTTTTGACACAGCTAAAATTAAGTTCAAGGGAGTATTGCATACATTTTAGAACTGAGGGGTATTAGGTGTCACAACCTAAAAAGTAAATAGCTGAGAGGAGGGAAAGTGTATTACCACAACCTCCTTCCCCCACTCCCTCTCCTAAAAGTAAAAGGGAACAGAAAAATAACTTGCCAAGCAATTTTTAAGGACTCCACGAGCTAATCTACATATGCATAACATGGTAAGTGCATTAGTAAGGAGTTTTACAAGCTAAAATCAATTTTGTAGCTGAACAGTGAATAGACTGAATGAATCAATTATGTTTCTAAGTAATTGATTGTGCAAATTCTTGAGAAAGCACTTTTAACAAATTAAACAGTTCCCAAAGAGAAGCAAGATGAGCTCATACATTTCGAATAAGTTGAGCTACGGACGAAATGCAACATGAGTCAACATAGAAGCTTTTGTGTCAGCATAAAGCAAAAAGATACTTTGACTCTCTTTATTCATATCGCAGTGACGCGTCATGTAATATCAAAGAATCAAAAAGTTACAAGAGAAGCTTAAAAAATTCCACACTTATGTAATATAACCCTCATCTTGTATGCATAGCCCATACTTATGCCTTTGGTTCTTGCAATACTTCAGCAAAATCAATGTAATTTCAACATCTTTTCACACTAAAACCTTGGACTACAGATAAAGCGTTCAATAACTAAAGAATGTAAATACTCACGCAATAACAACATCTCCCTTTTTGCAAAATGCTGGAATTGCACTGAACATCGTAGAAAGTCCATAGGAGTAGAGTATAGAGTCTGGAGTTCCCAGAAACTTTGCTATTCTAGCCTCACAATCAAGGTGGACATCTGCAAATTGTAGAATATTCAGATTGATATTTAATGAGAATGAAGAAGGAGAAGAGTGCAACAAAACCATAGAATAGTAAGTAGATACAAATGATCAAATTATACCAATTGTGCCATAGAATCCCCGGGGACCACAAGAACCTACACCATACTTCTCTAGAGCTGAAGTACAAGTCTCCTGTCATTCAACATTAGTAGAATTTTCTGTTATACTAAAGAACTAAAGCAAAATCCCTGTTAAATAAGTAATGAAGAAAACCTTACTAGTAATTCTTTGCTTCCTAATAATCCAAGGTAATTTGCTGAAGTGAAGTTCACTACGTCTTTCCCATTAACTATAGTATGAGGCCCTGCAGCACTGAACAAACACAAGGTATGAGAAGCAATACATCTAGCTATTCATTCCTAAAAGTTTGATAACTTTAGCATCTGAATCATGAACTTGAACATTAGCAGAACAAAAGCTCTTCTAACAATAAATACGGCTTCAATGCAGCTTAGTAACATTGCTTATCAGCTCATAACTTAAAGACGCTGTTTACAACTTGTAGCATATCTGAGCCATCGTACTAAGTCTCTACATAAAACCTCCAAAAACTAGTATTCATAATTTTGGCATTTTAGTCTGACATGCTAAATGTATATGATATTGATACCATGTTGGAGTTCCTTGGTTCCCTATATTTGTCTTTCATCTCGGGGGAAATACGATCGGGAGGAGCTAATTAAAACCCCTCCGGTAAAATAAGAACAGCCCCCACGTTCAATTGCATATCATAAGGAATTCGAACAAAATCTCTGAGAACAATGAAAACAAAAAAAGATATCTCGGTAACGAAAACTATAGGGGGCTGTATTGGCGAGATCCAACGGTGACAGCTGCCCAAAAGAAAAACCACCTGAGGCAGCTAAGCTTTTGCAAAGCATATTCAGCACCATCTCAATGCTGTTTCATGAATAAAATAACCTTTACGTTTAAAAAAAAATAGTTGAATCTAGCAAGCAAGAGCGCAGCATAACAGTTTTAATGGCTTTTATCCTTTAGATAGCCATCTAATAATCAATCAATACAAGAATAAAACCAAAACAAATACTAAAACTGGTTCTCTAAATGTAATCTACTTTAAAAAAGATGTAAAGCTGGGGAGAACGGTGCAGAGAACAGAAAAAATATCATTAAAGAGAATGCAAAACATTTATAGAGTTGCCTTTTCTGTCATGTACATCTGGTAGAAATTTCTAACTCTCTGAATGCATACAGTTGAATAAAAGAAAGAGTAACCTGACTGAAATTATCTGAACAAAATGCAATTTTATTTTTACAAAGCTGAACAAAATACAAGCTTCAGACTGTCTAAAACAAGGAAAAGAGAAACAGCTTTTCCACCTTTCCAAAACCGGAGGTTCATGTTTCATCTCATCAGTGATGGAAGGGATAAGTGGTTCTGGGGCCCATTCTTCACATAACTCATCAATTTCCTGAAAATAGTAAAGGTATTCATCACCTTGATTGAAGTTTGCAGGAATTCTGTTCTTGCAATTTTATTTTTACAAAGCTGAACAAAATACAAGCTTCAGACTGTCTAAAACAAGGAAAAGAGAAACAGCTTTTCCACCTTTCCAAAACCGGAGGTTCATGTTTCATCTCATCAGTGATGGAAGGGATAAGTGGTTCTGGGGCCCATTCTTCACATAACTCATCAATTTCCTGAAAATAGTAAAGGTATTCATCACCTTGATTGAAGTTTGCAGGAATTCTGTTCTTGCAATTTTATTTTTTGCTTTCATATAAAAGGTGCTAGCCGGGGACCGAGGGACACTGCATGATTCTCTTGACTCTCATTTTGATGAATATGGGTTTTTCACGTGAAGCGAAAAAAAAAGGAAAACGATGGTTAAACAAAATTGGAAGGACTCCTTATTTTGAAGGGTTAATTGAAAGGACTCCTTAAGCATATCTTCAACATAGATGCTTCTGAAGCATGTTTATCCCTGTCTTGAGCCTAAATGCTAAGTGATATTTAACTGCAAAAATTATACCAGCAACACGCATTGAAGCTACTAAAGACAGCCAGACATAAGGTGGTTTCTTTGAACAATGAGAAGACATAATATTCACAGAGCCATTGACAGTTGAAAATGCAGATCTCTCACAAACCTTCTTTGTCAATGGTCTTTTAGGTGGTTTGTAACTCTTCTGAGACATTAGGAAGACAATGACCACCAGGAGAAGACCTTCCACAAATAGATGTCCTACAGGAAAAACAGCAAAACATTAGCCAATGCACAACACAGAATCTAAAAACAAAGAGGTGATTACCATCCAAAGAATGAAGAGACTACCTCCAATGTTGACCTCAAATATCACAGCTCTTGCGAATGGAACCTCAAAGGCTGATGTCACCCAATCGGATGTAGCTCTCACTGTATTTGCCAGTATAGAAACTGCTGAATCCATTATCTACAAACTTGGAAAATACAGACGATGGTGACAAACTTACCCACAGAAAAAAAAAAATTGTTTTAGGATGGTTTATTTACCACATTCCCTCCACTTTGCAATGCTCAAGAGATGTAAATTAGAACCAAAATAACAAGGTACTGATGAGGTTGATTGGGAAAAAAAATTACCTCTAGTAAGAGAATTTAAGCAGTATAGCACCAAGAATATAGAGCACAAATAATAACGATGATTTTTATACACAGGAAATCTTCTCGTTTTTTTTTTTTTTTTT